GATTTCTAAACAAAACTAAAATCATGAGAAGAATATATCCAGTGGAGAAAAAAGTATAAATACAAAGAAGTTAAAGGTTTTTATAAGTTAAAGGTATTTATAAGTCAGACATATTTTTAGCTTTTAGTGTTTTGTAGAAAGAACATGAACTTGGTAAAGATGAATTGGCAATATGGTTCTATTAATGGTTATAAGTAACTCAGTGTATTTGAAATTAAATATATCATAAGGTAAATGGGAACATAAATTTCTAGCTAATCAAATGAAATCTGGAAAAAATGAATTTTTCTAAGCTTTTTATTAGGATTCAGGATTTAAAGTCCCTAAGGCACCTAGCTTAATACGTTGGATGTTTATATAAGTGTTACTATCATTATTATTTTTAATTGAAACTTACTTTTTTCACTCATTACTTTTTGTCTATTATAGAGGCACTGGGTTTTCTTAAGACTGAAAGAGCATAAACACAGGAGTGTAAACCATCTGTGTTTGAATCATCATTTATTACTATAATGCTCTATCATTTACTACTTTAACTTATCTAAGCCCAAAGTGTATAGGAGTATACGGAGACCGGAAAATCTCCTTACAGGGACACTCTGAAAACAGAAAATTATTTACTTTAAAAAAGATTATTATGATTATCATCATCATCATTATTTATTATTATTATTATTGTCAATTTATTGAAGTCAGTCAGAAGGAAAGGATTAGATACAGAATGATTTCTCTCACCTGTGGGATTAAGATACACTGCAAGGTAAACAACAATGGGCCAAAGGCAACATGGATGTAACTGTTTTCTCAGGTACTCTCATTTCATGTGCTAAAGAACCTATGTTCATAAGAGATTTATAACAGGAAACATTTTTCATATTATATTTTATTACTTTACAGAAAACATAAACTTAAATTATATTGGTTAAGGATAACTTTAATTTTATGTATTTTTATAAATAATAGTCATATGGTGATTATATTCATTACAACTTGTAGACATACAGTTTATAAAATACCTTTGTTATATAGTACTATAACCAAAAGTTTTTCTCCAAAGTAGTCATCTGCTACTCTGCTGCTCCAATTATTATCCTTGCAACCCATTCTACCATCAAGATGCTTAGTAATTGATAATAATAATAAATTACAAAGCCAGGAGACTGTTGAAAGAAGTTGAATGTATTGTCATGGCCTATATTTTAAGAAATACTTGACAGTTGAAGTTGGCCTGATGAAATTGAGCAATTGATCACTGGTTCTCCATCTTTGCCTTAGACCCTCTAAAAAGGCTTTGACATAAGAATTTATGAAAGCAGCTTCTTAGCTTCTATTCACCTTCCTGAACATTGTTTGAAGTATTAGGAAAATTAGTTATTCTCATTCAGGATGTAAAGCAATTTTTAAAAATCTGGTAGGAGGTTTCTATCATTTATTAAATAATAGATTAGAAAAAAATGAGTGTAACTTTATTAAGTCTAAATTCATGCATTAAGACATATGCTGAGATTAATGCCATTATCTAAAATCAGAAGGAAGGCATGGAAATGGAAAGAATTTCTCAATTTTCTAAGTGTTCTTTACTATTATAGTAACTGCAGCACATATTTAATATTCACTGAATACATTTAGTTCCTTTCAGCAATTCAAGGTTAAAGCCAGACATCAGTCCCAACTTGAGGTACTATTACTATTCATGTAAAAAAGTTTTGAAGAGGCACTTTTAGAAGTGGTAGACTGGGTCCAAATAAGATTTGTAGGATATGTATACATACGCTGAGAAGAGCCAAATACTTTTAGAGCCATGTGTTTAAGGTCAGAATTACTTCAAACCTTTAAATGAGTACCTTGCCATGCAACTGTTAACTGACAAGATCTGTGGCTCTACATACAGCACTAATATAAAATAATCTGTGCTATGTGTGTCCAATCTTTGATTTAGAGATCATACTTACATTTTAAAACATGTTTATAATGTGACAGAACTAAATGGTATTGAATTAGCATGAGAACTAGAGCAATTTTTTTTAGAAATGTTTTTAGAATTCATGTTTTTAGAGTCATGCCATTTCTTTCTTTTTCTCCTTTGATTCCATTTATTACTCCACTTTACTTGTATTGAATACTAGAAATTCCAAACCATTTGGGCATTTCATGACCATTTCGGGGTTTATAGAATTTCTGATCATTTTAAAATTATTTTACAAATAAAGCACTTGTATCATAATAACATTATGTGACACGATGAAACTGTAGTGTGAAGAGATTATAGGATGTGTCTTGGTCACCTGAAGTTACATGACAGAGTCACTCAGAATCTGGCCCTCATTTCACTCCTATATCAATTTCATCACTGGCTCTGTACAGTAGGAAGGCAGGGTATATTTAATGCACCAGTTTAGGTAAAAGGTAAAGGCCCTCCCGTTGATCGTCGATTTGCTCGAGCGGGCCCAGTAACGTCTCCATTGGAGACTTTGTTGTTACTGTGTCTGGCATATTGAATACTCTCGGTAGCTTGCCGGGCTCTCTGAGAGGGGCGGAGGAATCGAACTCGGGTCGGCCATGTTGGCCGCTTGTAAGGCGAACGCCCTACCCGCTGTGCTATCGTTCCTAAGGAATGCACCAGTTTGGTGACAAAATTTTACTTAATTAAGGATTATCATCATCTACTTTATGTTAGCACTAAACAATACAGATGCACAAATGAGTACCAACAGTCAAGGTATTTTGACATTGACCAGAAAAGTCTTGCTGTTTTCCTAGAAAATAAAGAGATTTCAAGAAGGGCAAGTCTGCTAAATTTAACCAAGCTTTCTAAAAATTTGCCAAAGCAATTTTAAATTAAATACATTATTTAATGCCAATAATTTTACACTTTACTCAAATTTTATGAAACCCAAGTCCCATTATAAGTATTGATCTTCTACCTAACTTATAATATTATATGGAATGATGGAGACAATATGGAAAAGCCAACCTTATAAGATACCCAGGAATAAAATGTTAACAAACATGCTAAATGTTTCTGCTGTATTTCAAAGAGATCATTGAGAAAGTTCACTGAGATAGAACATTACTGCATAGATTATAATAGATGATTTTGGAGTGATATATATAAAAAATACAGTTATTTTTGTTTATCAACTCATTTAAACTTTATAAAAATTCAAGAAGATGAGTGTATTACTATTTCTAATCTAGGGATTAAGAAATTAAGTAACAGCTATAAAAACAATCTTGCTAATTTAACCCAGCTAGTGGTTGACTTCAGCTGCTGAGAGTCTGCTCAGGGCGGGGAGGAAACTCAACCCGTTCTCCTCCAAAAGGCCCCAGTGAGGACAGCCAGGCAGGGGAGCAGGAGACGATGCAGCTGAAGACCTTTGGAACCAGCCACAGCCATGCCTAAGACCACTCTGCATATGCTCAGATGAGCCTCACGTATTAAGGAATAGGCAGAAGAACCCAGGTGTGGGGGACCCGGGGCTGAGATCTCTAAGGCTGCTCGGGTTGGGACTGGGCCTCCTCCACCCAGATCCTCCATCTTCCAGTAGCTAGACATTACACCCACCAACTGCCCCTGGCACAATGTAATCCCATCAATGGCCAAGACCCAGAGACTATAAAACCAAGCTCCTGGAAGAGAACAATGCAAAGTCACCTGCTCCGGCGACTGGCTGTCCCCACCGGGGTCCCTTGGAGGGGGGCAAGTTGATTTCCCTCCTTGCCCCGAGCAGAGCCCCAGCAGCTAAAGACCTTCGAAACCCAGACACAGCATGCTTAAGAGACTTTCCACACGCTTGGACGAGCCTCACGCATGAAGGAACCAGCAGAGGAACCCAGGTGTGTGGGACCTGGGGCTGAGATCTCCAAGGCTGCTCGGATTGGGACTGGGCCTCCTCCACCCAGATCCCCTATGGTCTAGAAGGTAGGTGTTACACCCACCAACTGCTCCTGGGCTCTGTGTAATCCCATCCCAATGACCAAGACCCAAAGACTATAAAACCTAGCTCCCGGAAGTGTGCGGCTGCGTGATCTCTTATTGTCTAGTTCTTGTTCTTGGAGAACCAGGCAGGCTATGGAGAGTATCCTGCTCTCACGGCAGAGAGCTCCCTGTGGCATATTCAATATGCCAAAACCCAGTAACAATGATGGGTCTCATTCCCCTGAACCTGAAAGAGCCTCCAATGTGGCACTTGCTAAAATCTCAGGGCTATGACAAATGGAGATGTTACTGGTGCTGCTAGAGGACATTGATGAACAAAGGGATGACAGTGATACAGTGATACAATGGTTGTCTGAGAAGATACTCAAACATGCAGTATAGCTTCATATTCTTAACCACTTCACTCGATGGTCTCACTCCATTATAGCAGTACATTACAGACCCATTTCCTTTGTCCTGGCTTCTGGTATGCAAAACTGCCTTAGATCTTGCCTTTCCAGAAATAAACAGTTCCTCTGAGGACACAAGACATGTACACAGAAGATAAAAACTCATAACCCAAGATACCAAATGCTAGTGGAGAGATATAACCACTACTTCCCCAGAAGTCATGGAGAAAGAAAAGAATGGAGATAGAGAACCAGCAAGATTTTTCAAAATATGTAAAATTCAAATTAGATCCTGGTAGGAAAAGTGGGTTTAAATCAGTAAAAAGGCGCTGGGAAAGTTATTTCAGATGGCTGGGAAAGGACAAAGGCTTTCTGTGAGCAGGACATGAGGCTCAATTGGGAGAAAGATTTCCCTGGGAAAACCATGAGTAGAGTACAGGAGGGAATTTAAAGTCATGTTTGTAAAACATTTTAAAAGCCTGAGAGGCAAGAAGACCTCCTGCTGGACAGCTGCAGGGTAATTCTGTGTGTATGGGTGCATGTGTGGACATGCTTAGTTTGCAATCAATGCTTAAGAAGGCTGATGAGATCGGAGGTGTATAATGAGGGTGGGATTAGTGAAAATTAGATAATGGATTGCAAGAACACAGACGACTCTTCAGTTTACATACCTACATTCAGACACTTCCCAATTACTCCAGGGAGGATTATCTGCTTGCTGGATATTCCATGACCTTTCTCACCAACTCATTGTCCTTTTGACTTGTTCCCTCCTGTTAGAACCTGGGGATAGGGAAGGAGGCAAAGTTATTTATCACCCAGTCTCTCTCACTCTCTTTTTTTCCTATTCTTTAATAGTTTTGGTTAAACATTTGTATGGAAATTAAGAATATGGTAGAGGATCAAAATGTTTCTTTCTTTTTTTTTTTTGTAAACTGTGATTCTAATTCCTTTATTCAACTATTTTCTGATGGAGAACAGTGCTTATAATTAATTCTAAAAATCCTGAAATATGGAATTGTTAATTCCTTTGATCTGATAGGAGCCTATAAACAGAGGCTATTCACATGTGCTTTCAAACAATGCTCTTATGCCAGAACCTTGGTTCTAATCTGGCTGCTGAGGAATTTAGGTGAAAGCGGTTAAATATACTCTCCATTATTTTTAGGTTTGCTGCCACCTGTAACTGTCACTGTCCTCCCGTTGTTCATTGATTTGCTCGAGCGGGTCTAGTAATGTCTCCATTGTGAGACTTTGTTGTTACTGTGTTTGGCATATTGAATACGTCACGGGTAGCTTGCCAGGCTTTGCCAGGTGGGCGAGATACTCTCGGTAGCTTGCCGGGCTCTCTGAGAGGGTGGAGGAATTGAACTCAGGTTGGCCATGTTGGCTGCGTGCAAGGCAAACGCCCTACCCACTATGCTATTGCTCCAGTCCCTTGCTACCACCTAAATGTATTAGCCAGTTCTTCTGCTTCCTAAGGTAAATGTAGATTACTAGGAAATGAAAGCAATTTTATGGCTGCAGAGTATGTGTTTGACTTTAAAACTAAAGTGTCACATTATGAAGTTGAGAAAAAAGTTAAAATGAAACAGTGGAATGAAATAGATTTGCCATGTCAAAAATTCTTTTTCTTCTTTTTTTCTTTTTTCCTGTGGTGCCAAGGAATGAGTCTAGATTTCAAACATGTGACCTATTTCTGAGCCACATTCCTAGCTCAGGCACTTAAACAAAAATAAAACAACTCCAGGTGAGCTGTGGCAGCAGATTCCTCTCTTTCCCAGCTGGGTCCTAGAGGCCGCCACACTATAGCTCCACCATCTCAGCCGACCCACCACCACAACTCCTGAACTGACAGCTCCACTCCTCAGACCTCAATTGGCTCACACTTAAACCTCCTGTCACTGGGTGAAAAATGGGCAAGGAAGGAAAAGAGCGACAGAGTCAAAGCAACAGTGTCTCTCTGTAGTCAGAAAACTGGCTCTACTATTTGTGAGAACTTCTGGGCAATAAGGACTGCTGACTTCAAGACAAAACAAAACGATACAAAGTCTCTCGAATTGTTAGACAGAATTACTTTTAAAAGTTCCCAAATATATAGAAATAATTATAATTACGGATAGCTAAAGTGCTGATCTCAAGAGGATACTCAGCATTTCTTAGGCTACATTGCTTATCCCCTAAGGGCAACACCTGCAATTACTTCAGCTTTTACAGCAGAAGAAAAATGTGACAATCAGTATTTAGGTATTTAGTACAATGAACAAAACATGCTAACTTGCCTTCAAACTAGCTTTCTCAGTCAGTAAAGACATTGCTCTCTTTTAGATACTCATCATTTGTACTCCAGAACTCAAAAAAGCAACATATACCAGAAAAACAGCAGCTTCAAGGCTTTAAGGAGATTCACTTCAATTTTATTATTCTAATTATTCTAATTAACTAAGCAGTTATTCTAATCAACATAAAAGGTAAGATGCAGTCATAAATACTTCTAAGAGAGAATTAAGCTGAGCAATGTAATTATTCACTTATTAACACAGATTTATTACACCTACCATGTGTCAGGGTTAAATCAGTTAGATCAGACTATAAGAATCAGATAGTATTTATTTAAAAATATATCTAGGGGCTGGAGTGATAGCACAGCGGGTAGGGCATTTGCCTTGCACATGGTTGACCTGGGTTTGATTCCCAGCATCCCATATGGTCCCCTGAGCACTGCCAGGCGTAATTCCTGAGTGCAAAGTCAGGAGTAACCCCTAAGTATCGCTAGGTGTGACCCAAAAAGCAAAAAAATATATATATATCCAATTTATATGTACTAATTTTACTAATAATATATTTATATATCCTCACAATACAAAATTTCAAGTTTAGATCTATAGTTTACAAATGTGCTATCCAAAGAGTTATTTATTTCTCATTCTTATAATAGATTATTTTAATTAAAATAGTAAATCCAAAAATTACTTAAATTTTTCTTTATCAGAGCCTCTATAAAGAAAGTATAATTTAAAAATAAATAACATACCTATTTAGTAAATAAACAAATTAATTTCTATTACACTTAATAATGATTTATTTAGATGTTTATGATTAAATATAAATTGACTTGAAATGATTTTGCAGATAATAATTGCAGTTTTGTATCAAAGACAATGTAGAGTTTTATTCTTCCCTCTGATTTAATACTCAATTGACTACCAAGACCAAAGAAAAAAATTATCTTTTCTAGTTGTACTTTCAGAAAGATACATTTTGTCTTTCATTTATATAGATAAAAGAATACATTATAAGTGTGCTACAAGTGATTTCAGAATGATAAATCTCCAGTTACCAGTTCTACTTTTAATGATTAGTTTCCTGAGTCTTGAATTTAATTAAAACAATTATTTCAAATGCTTATATTTAATTTAAACATAATTAGCTAAACCTCAATTACTGACTTTCCAATTTTAAAATTAATTTACAAGATAGCTAAAAAGTGCTATGAAATTTTAATGTTGAAATAAATCAGAATCAATTTGCATCTTCTGTTAGTTTCAGTTTTGAACCCATAGATATGTATATCAGTTATGATGGCAGAACTCTGGAATGGCTGATAAGTAGCAGGGTCAAATGCTGACATGTCATTCATGTTCACTTCATGTTTGACATATACTTTTAACTTCCTAGGCTATCCTAGTCAAGGGTGTGATTGCTTTCAACTTTAAAGAGATCTATATTTTGTGAATTAATTCAAGCCCTAATTCTCTTAAGATAATTGGTTTTAGTATATGCTTTCTCTGTATAATAATTAATGTAATAAAACCTTGTATTCTTTCTGATAATGCAATCAGAAAGGTTTTTTGTTCTGTTTTTATTTTTTACACAGATATGCTCTGATTTTTCACTTCACTTCTATTTAAACATATGGCCTGCATACACAAGGACCAATATAGGTAATAGTGCAAAGTAGAAAAATTTTTTCCAAGTCTATGGGAGAATCTGAGGATAATCAAAAACTAATCACAATAGCTATCTGGAGTGGATTTATTGGTAGTGTGAATGGCCTTAAATTGTTGGTGTGGTTTGTGGATAAAGAAGCTGAGTTGTACATATTCCTTATTAATGATATTGTTATCTACTACTTATTGTCTAATATCTAATATGCACTGAACTAAATCCTTAATAAGATGCCATTATTAGGTCTATTACAGATGAACAAGTGGGCTTCAAGAAGTTAACATACTTTCCCAGACTTACATTATTAATAAGAGATGAACAAAGGACTTGAAGCCACATTCTAAAACTCCGCACCTTAGTGTCCCCAGCTTTCTATCAAGGTGTAAGGGAAGAATTTCCCACCTTAAGATCTTCATGGCCATTACCACTACCACTTGTATCACTTGACATTCCATTGCTCATCAATTTGCTCGAATGGGCACCAGTGACATCTCCATTTGTCCCTGTCACGTGCTAGTGTAGCCCAATGGTATCTGCTCGCTCCAGGAATACAAAGAGCCTCAAACTGTTCATTCAGGATTTTGATGAAGAAGTCTGACCATCTCATAGGTGGGCAGCCAGGCGTCCTATTGACGTCCCGTGGAATCCATTTAGTAACAGCTCTAGTCTAGCGGTCGTCTCTGAATGGCATTAAGTGTCTGGCCCATCTGATTTTTGATGCCTTGGCAAATGAGATGGCGTCCCTGATTCTTGATCATTGATGGAGGTCAGAACTCCAGATTCCTTCTCTCACTTGAGTGAAATGTGATATGCCAAGCATAGCTCTTTTGATTCCTCTTTGGGATACCCAAATAGTGTTCTCGTCCTGTTTTTGTATGGCCCAGGTCTCTGGGGTGTATGTTAGTGCAGGAAGAACGGTGGAGTCAAAGATGTGCCAGGAGCAGGAGGTTCTTTATCCTCTTGACAACTTCTTTTTTTATTTATTTATTTTTTTTATTTTTTTATCAGTTTATTTCTTTATTGAATCACTGTGGGAAAAGTTACAGAGCTTTCGGGTTTAGGTCTCAGTCATGTAAGTATCAAACACATTTCCCTTTACCAATACTTATTTTTAACCGTGAACCCCAATAGAACCCCACCTCCCACCCCTCCCAATTCCTGTGAGGCAGATGAGTTCTAGTTAATACTCTATCTACTTTGACTAGATACATTGTTTCGATAGAAGATGCACAATTATTGTTTAGAGTTTATGACCCCCCCCCAATCAGATATGCTGAAACAGTGTTGTGAAATGATTTGCTTTCTACAGCTTGGTTTAAGAATAAAATGATGTCGCGCAGCCGCGGTAGCGGCCGCGCAGTATTGGATTTCTGCTGTTTCACTTATTAACCCTGGAAGTATTTCTATTAAAAGTTAGATAGTTAAGAGATTGGTTTCTGTGCTCTGGAGTCGTGGCCGTGCCGGAGAGCTGCTCGTGGGGGGCAGCCGGTGACCTCGGTCGGGCGTGAAGGACGGCCCAGAACGCCCCCCTTCCCATGAGGCCCCCACTGCCCCCCGCCCCCGGCTCAGACCTGCTGTCCACAAGGCTCCCGTGTGGCCGCCATCTTTCTTTCCAGAGAGGAGCAGGCGAGCGGGACAACACCCTTTCCCCTCCGGGCAGGCTTGGTGGCGCCGTTTAACACATAGTCCATTTGCTTTGCTGCTCCAAGCGACTGGTTCTCTGTGCTAAGTCCTTGTGCCTCCGGGGCCATGGCCGTGCCGGAGAGTCGCTCGTGGGGGGCAGCCGGTGACCTCGGTCAGGCGTGAAGGACGGCCCAGAACTCTTGACAACTTCT